GTTATTTCTGGCTATAAATTTTACTTAGAATCATTTTAATTTTTTTTTTCTCACAATGATCTGGGTTGGGCAATGCAGAAGCAAATTGGATTTTACCTTTATCTCTTTCCTGTGAAGTGCCAGCAGTTTCTAAATATTCCTTGTCCTTCTTCCAATCCTTTGGAATGTACAGAGACCTTCATGAGAAAAGCCCTGAACTGCTCCTTTTGTCCCTTGTCTAATCCTCATCCTGCTCTTTTAAGCCCAGCCCTGTGGCCTCCATTCATGGGAGTAGAGACCAGGAGGAGGACTAGTATCCTCTGACCTTCTCAGTGTGGGTTATTAATCTTCTTCCCAACATAATGTTCATCTATGTAATAAAAATGCCCTTTCACATATTGCTTTTTAACTCTATTTTCTTTTTATCAGAGCTTTCCCTTACTTGCCTGTCAGCAAGATGAGATAAAATTCCAACACAAGTTCTCTTTCCTCTTACTATTTGAACAAAAACTAAGAACCGTAGAGTAATTCTGTTTTGATCGTGCCTAACCACTCCCTTTTAGCCTTAGATGGATGAGTTAGCATTGCGCCTGTCTTAAATGTGATCATAATAGTCAAATGAATGTTCACACCTTATTTTTTCACCCACCTATTCCCTTTGTTTAGATTTACATTCAGTCCTTTTGATCACACATACAGAGGCAGGGAGAGGTAACATTCCAGGCAACAAGAGCCACTTTGCTACATGCCTTTAATTTCTTTTCCCATCTCCAGTCCTGAGAGTTTAATTGGTAGTCTGGATTTGTGAATGATCTGGAGGGGGAAAAAAAAACATCGAGTTCTATGGGATTAAACTTGATCTAAGCTTACCAAATATCCATTCTACTAATTTTATGTGTTCTAGAAGTTTGCTAATAAGCTTGACTTTAAATGGATTATTAATTTCCTCAAGCCTTAATTTTTGTCTTCTTAAAATGGAAATGATAATACTGTCCTTTCTGTGTTGTAAGGAATAAATGAGATTAAAAAATGTAAAGAAAATACTGTATCTAGTGCCTTGAACATACTGTGTATCACATGGCATTTACTCCTATTCCATTGCTAAGGCAGACTCTTTGTTCCTTTGGGGATATTTCCATGTTCACTTATGCCATAAAATGTGCAATCATGTGTTCAAGTAATTTTCAAGTCATTTAGAAATCTCTTCTTAAGCAATTAGATTCTGAAGCCCTTTTCTAAATTTATAGAGTATTTAATGATCTAGTTGCTTCATATGTTTCATGTGGTTCTTGTTTTCTCAACCTTGGATTTGAATTTTTGTTATGCCTATACACTTAGTACGTAGCCTCTTAAAGCTGACCCTGCTGCATGTCCCGTGTTAGCATCCTGAAGTGTTTATGTTCACCGTCTTATTAGTGAAGGACACTCATTCAAAGCAAGGCTCTACCACTTCAAGCCGTGTGGTTTTCTGTTCAGCTAATCTCTCTGCACCTCAGTTTCTTTTTCTTGAACAGAAATAATAAAATAACTTATTTCTTAATGTTGTAAGAAGCTTGTGTGTTTAAATGATTTGCTATTTAATTTCGTACATAGTAAATAGTTGTAATAGTCAACTTGTGAGTGCTCAAATTAAGTAGTTAGCACTGGAAAGTGAGTGGTATGTATTTACTGTGGTTGTAGAATAACAAATTCTTGGGGATTGTTTTCCTAATGCTGCCCTATTCCTTTCTATGAAAACTGTTTCATGTGTCCAGCCCCAGCCTCTTCCAAAGTCATATTCAGCGTTACCATTTCTGCAGTTTAAAAAAGCTGTTCATTTATTTTTTTTCTTCTTCACTCAGGGTTTTCTAAGTTCCTATAAGGATTCTGGATGAGTAAGCAGACTTTTTCCATTTGCTTAAAAGATAAAAAAAAAGCTAACCAGTGAAGAGCATAATGTACTAAAATGACTTGTTCAGAGTCACAGAGTCTATTAGTGAATCTGGGCTGGTACAGAACTAGTCGAGGGCAGTTTAACTCTGCTTTCCCCAGTATTCTCTCAGACATCTCTTTATTTTCCCATTAGGCCTTCACTCTCGAAGACGCAGGGGTGTCAACCTTCTGAAAGAAAAGAATGTGAGCTTTTAAAATTGTATTTATAAAGATAGGTCAAGGTTAGAAATTCATTTTCAAGGTTTAAAAGTATTTTGTGTTCGTTTTAAATACTTGAATCAATATACAGTAAAGGAGATAAGTAAGGCACTCGGTTAACTGTGTAAGAATGATTGCCGTCTTAGAAATTGTAGTATTGGTGTGGAATTCCCACTTCTCTTGGAATGAAAACAAAAATTCCCCTTCTGCTAGGACAAGTTGCTTATCATGGTTCATCTTTTTGAGAAATTTGGGCTACTTTGAAGTTCTCCTTCAGACATACTTTAGAAATGTTTTGTTGTGTACCCACTAGCACCCCCAAAATAAAAATCTTGTTTAGATTTTGATGAAGATTACATGAAGAGTAAGTTAAAAGTCTAGCATCCATGGCAATTTTAAAACGTTCCATATCTTGGACATACATAAATGGGTGTGATTGGGATTTATAACCTCAGATGTCTTTAAGCTGTTGAGACTTAATTTGGTAGATGATGAAAGAGAGTAGCAAAAGAGTAGTGACAAGTCGCTTAGCAAGTCTGTGGCAAAAGTGGGATTTGAACTTACAGTTGTTGATTCTAGGCCTGTTCACAGTGCCAGAGGTCACAGTTTTCTAATGGGTTTCAGCCATAGCTTTTCTCTTTTGTTCGTGTTTGAAATGTGTTCTGGGAATCCATGTCCAGTTAAATCCCTCTGTGATGCATGTCCCATTTATTAGTATTGATTTCAATACAATGGACAGTAAATCTATCTGACTACACAAAGGAATTAAAATAGTAGGGTATAGGTTCAAAATTTAAGATCTTTAGTAAGAATGTTATTCACATAACCTCCTAATATGAATTAGTATACCATTTTTACAAAGGTAAAAGAATAAATATATGGTTTCTTCCCTTTGATTACTAAAACATTAAGACAGTGTGGCAGTGACATTGTCATTCTAAAAATCATTCTAAAATCTGTGTAGCTGGAAAAGGATAGGCCGGCAAGGAGTATGTGGGTGAGTGTGGTAGTTTAGGGATTACTTGGGAATCACATCTTTCTGCTGACAAAGTTTACAGGACTATAAATTTAAGTGTAGAGTTCTTGTAG